CCCCCCCCTCCCAAACCACTTAGCACCTATCACCTTCTATAAACATGCAGCACCGATGTTGTATCCAAATGTCGTTCGCGCCCGGTAAAATAAATCGAACTGCAAAGCCCTGACAGGGCAGGCCATAGTAGTGCGTTTTGAGTACATGCGTAAAAACGCACTAACCCACTCAAAAACGCGCCTACTGTGAACGTGCCCTTACGGTTCAAACGTGAGCAGCTCGAGTTCGCAGTGGGTTGCGCCGCGCGCGACGTGTGCGGCCTGATCTGGTTACATCGGGGATAGAATCGAACGTTCCCAGTTGGATGGGTCGTTACATGCCAGATTTGAACGATTGTGGCGCGATTTGAGAGATAGCGATAATTACTGTTGAAGCGAGAGCCCCACCAAAGATTTGCCGTGCGTCCTTCGGTATAAAAGTTAATGAAATAGAAATTGGTATTTGGACCCAATCTCGGAGGCCAAATTAATCAGCGACAGCTGTTTCGTGTACCATGCCGAGAATGATGGAGAGCCGGTCATGGAATATGCTGTGTTGTTTTTGCCCTTCACGTTGACATTCACCTGAACCAATATGTACTTATATATGTACATATATACGCATTTACATAAATACACGTTTATGGATTCGGAAGGGATTTTCTTGAAGCGATATCGGGTCCTCGTTACATTTTTACCATAAACCTTGGTTTTTTACAGAGAAGTAGTGGAAGAATGCATCAAAAGTGAATTGGAGGATCGAAACGCACTAGAAGTAATCTACCATTCCCATTTCTCTCCTTCATTTCATAATGTCCATAAGTTTGTGTTAAGGATCAGCAAAGTGATGAGCTGGCGTTGGCACTGGAACGTAGTTGCAGCAATGGCAAAGTTGTAAAAAAGGTGCGTACAATTCTTCAAGGCAATTTCCTCTGTGAACTTTCTGAATGCTGGACTTGATTACGTTTGTTATCCTTGGCAACAAGTTAGACAACAGTAGAATTTTGGTTAAGGCATGGTGATTCCTATCATTACAAGGACGTTATCGTTATAAGATATGCCAAGATATATTTTCAATATTTGCAAATATATCTTGTAACCGTAATATTTGAATATAGGAAGTGAGGATATTTCATTGTTCACAATTAGTGAACTCGCTCACTAACTACCAAGGGTTGTCCATTCAAATGTAGTTAGCTGCAGTGTTTTTAATATTTTTTCGTCCGACTTAGCGTTGACCTGGGCAGACGCCAGCTAGCACTATCGTCTCTTCTTTTGGCAGCTCTTATCCCCGCTCTCCCGAACGCTCCTTTTATGGTACACCTAGCAACTCAACATTTTCATCACGTTGTGTTACCACCCAGCACCCATTTTTGGAATTTGTGGTGTTTAACGGTTGCTTATAAAGCAGACCGTGGACTGGTCAGAGCTAGGCCCAGCTTACAGCTTACGAAGGGTATGCTTTAGTTGGTCCCGCTTCCACCTGGTTCTTGCATATCTACTTCCAAGTTCTTTGGTGAGTTCGGCTTAATACTCACCCTTCATCAATCGGCTCTGGATTTTCTACTGCGTCTGGTCACAGTAGAGTGCAAGCCAGACGTTCTCGTCCTAAGCAAAAGCTAGTAACAGCTATCAGTGTAAGTATTAGGTCTAGTCACTATTCACAGGGTGTTTTTTTAACATCGTGTTCCTTCCTCTATCAAATGCCCAAGAATTCCTAACCTTCGGCGCAAGCTACTTCCGTTTTGCGGCTGCGCCCTCGCAATCAACTGCGTTTCAGGATTGTTGTGGCGTTTTGGATGGTTATATGGCCTACCAACTGTGATCTGTGGTGGTTGTACGATTTAGCACTTTCGTCTTCACGGATGGATCTGACCAGGACATTAACCAACCCAAAAGTACATATAATAAGGTCAGCTAGCCTGTAGGCTTGACTGGGTGTGGGTATCGATTCCGGATCCGTACCGAACTACGTGGTTTGGTAATGTGCAACCACATCCACCACTAGAGGTTCTGAACTACCTTCTAAATATGAAATCGAATGGCAACATTATCCGACTATGCGTGAGAAACTCCGGCTTACAGTATGGCTAGACGGTCGAGAAAAGCCTGAACGAAGCACAGAACCATGACATATTACTAAATGCGAGTTCTTGAGGTTGTGAGATTCCGATTTCTAATATGCTCATACAAACAAATGTGAACAGATTTCTTCCAGGAAGAAGAAACATCCAGAGTGATTGTGAAAATCGTGGCAAATGAGGAACTCGTCAAACTCCCAAAGGATGAGGATCAAACTAGTTCAAGTTCCGGGGCGAGCATTCGCGTTGCTAAGGTATGTGCATTTCATTAACATTATACCTGGACTGAGCTTAAAACCGGGGTCATCATTGCGATTGGTGATGTCTTGTACGATAGGTTTAAGTGGTATAAGAGTGAAAAAAATCCCACTTTTTACCTTCCCATCATTTTGTTTATTATACCCTCTCTTATTGAGGTACTTTGGTAATAAAATGTGGTGCAACAGCTATTCATATTCAATATGATATCCTACATATGTTTTTGCGGGTGGAGCGAGAGACAACAACTTGGAAAAAACAGTGAATAGGATATCCAAGTGTTCTCACGAAAATTATATTTCATGGTGTCGTACCATTATAATAGAGCCTGACGAAATAATTCCTGCCTTACAAAGGAAGAATCCCAAGTGATCTTACCGAAGTGAGACTTTTTTGCCGAACGTATTCGGGCACTGCTTTTGAATCTGCCTTCCAAATTTGCTGAGCGTCTCTCTGAACGGAGTTATGAGGAAGGTTCGAGGAGAGTGCTTAGTATAAGCAGACACAAAAGGCATGTGAAAAAATTTTTGTAGTGGAGGAATGGGGCGATTGTGAACGTGTGAGTTCCACCGCGAGGTCTATCCTAGAGAACGAGAAGACCTTTTTATAATGATTTCGCCACTTTTTTGGTGCTCTAGGTGATTCGGTTTTACCTAATCCATGCAACATCGCTACAATCTCCCTGCCAGCCCACACATGCCACATTCGCAGTTAGTGCCCAGATCTCCGAAGAGAAGGCGTTCTATGATTTATAGCTTTACAAGGCTTGAATCATAATTATGCCTTGTCTTATCGCTGATGGCCACTTACGTCGAAAGCTCCTTGTGATGATCCCGTTCTCTTGTGGAAATATTCTGTTTAACTATGCTTTTCTGAAGCTTGCTTTGATAGTAACTAACTGGTGTTTTTCAAAGAAGTGGGTTTTCCCGTACGCGGAAAGTAGCAGTCCGGACGGGTAAAACGCATAGGCACGTAATGATCAAGCAGTTGAACGTGAGAAAGTTGTGTCATTGTTACTGTTGTGTAATCATGAATGAAACCGTATAAAGAGAAAGCGTGAGCACGAGAGGCTAAAAGACACACTTGTGAATCTACAGTTGGCGGTATTTCTGAACATTTTTGGTCATGAAAAATTGTTCACCCGTAAGAAGTGCGTATAGAGTCTGAGACCAACGTTAGGGGCCACCATCAAGGATCTATTATTATACTGTTATTATTTGGTTCGATATCATTTATTATTAGAGCATGCGAACAATTAACATAAAGGAAAGGGTTGTCTAATTTCCAATCATTGACAGTTTAGAATGTGTGCTTGTTGGCAGGTTTCCGATTAGTACTAATGTGGATAACTACGACAGCTGCCGACCGCTCCAGAAATGCTGAAAACCCGGATGACGTCAACCGGGTGTCCTTAGGTCCGCATATTTCGAGTGTGTAGTCATTGCTGGCCGCTACTCCGAAGTAAAAGTTATCCGCTATAAGAGTATCGTGATGTCTTCCCCTTAAAATTCGTAGTATACATTAGGGTGATTTTTTCGATTAAGTTAATTCTATTTGGTTTTGACTATGGTTCAAAATTTATTTTTATTGTTACAAAATCTTTAGGTTCTCGAGAAGCACAAACCTCGTGAGCGACTATCAAAAAAGCTCCACCTTGTGTTTCCAAAGCAGAAATTCTATCGCTCTCTCCGTCGACTGACAAGACTTCGCGTGGCGGACGATTCGTCAGTCTCAATAACTGCGATTGTCAAATATTTAGTCGAAGAGGTTGCTTGCTTATGTTATTTGACAGTCTCAACACGTTTCAGTTTTCTGACGATTACGTAGACTATCACTTATTTGAAATTAATGTGTAATGACTTTTCAGAGCCTAATCGTTACTGTATTCAGATCCTTTGTTTGTCTTATGAAGCTATGCGTCGTGAAAGGCGCAAGAGGTTAACGCCGCGTTACATTGGCATGGGGATTCGCGTTGACGATGTAAGTCATGGTTTCTTCGTTCGTGTACGTGCACCTCTCCCTAGAGATGCTAAAACTTCGATGCTGAAAGGTTTACATAGTTGAGCATTGAAGTTTTTTATTTATCTCACCTTGTATTTGATTATCAATGTTTCCTCTGTTTTTAGGAACTGGGAAAACTATTCAAGGGCATTCTTATTCCATCCGCAGGGCAATTTGGTGCTTTTTATCTTGGGTCTTAAATAGCTGGCAGTGTGTTAAATAACGCTTCAACTCACTAAAATTAATCTCACGTTTTGTGATTAATAATGGGTGTTTTGAACAGATGATCGTTTCGAACTTTTCTTATGTTCCGATAAGTTGATTTTGGAAGAACGCTGCGCTTCATTTTTTTTTTACTATTCTCATAACCGGTAATCGTTTGCATCAGTATTTTTCTATTAGCGTAAGCTTTGTATCTTTATCGTTGTCTATGCTATTTTTAACTGAATAAATGGATATGTTCTGATGAAAAACTATCAGATTGTTCAGTAATTTCGCATACTTCCAGGAATGGTCGCATCCCCAGTACAAACATATTGTACAAGGATTTCCTGTGAACCACATAGTAGAAAAAGGTGAAAGGTGTTCTCTCTGCTCGAAGCTTACCTGAAGTCGTTTCCAACATAAGCCTTTCTTCGGGACTGAACACAATATCATGCCGCCCAAGGTTGATCGCGCAACTAGGCGTAGGGAAACTGTTTCAGACGGCTTGTCCCAAGGAAGTAGCTCACACGTGGGAGGTTTCGATTCAGAGGCCGGTTCAGATGAAAAGGACCTCGGAAAGCTGAGCGTGAGCGAACTTTTGAAGGCGCTTCTTGTGCGCAATACCAACCGGTTGTATGCAAAATGCTCAATGTTCTTTCGGAAAAAGAATCCCAAATCAAATTTGAGCAAGTTGTGGCCGTAAACGAGCTAAAAGCCTGGTGACGAGTGGTATAGGCGCCACATCAACTCAAATTTTAAGCGGCTCGGCTAAGCGAAATTTGGAATTCCCTCTCGTCGAAACATCCCCTTTCCCACTTAATATTGCTGCTATCAATTGTTTTGTCGACCCTGGGCCCATGATTGGAATGTTTGCAACAGACTATGATTAAGAGGAAGAGCTGAAGCTGGTTGAATTAACCATACGACGTACAGTGCGTAACAATGTTATGTAAATAGACCTTAATATTTATATTTGTGGAGAAAACAGTATGATAATGTATTGCTACTTTTGATTATACATCGTGTAACTAATCTTAGGTCGTAGAAAGTCAGGAGACTCGTAAAACTGAAATGGGAAGGAATAACATAGTTTTGAGCAGGTGTCGACTTGAAATCATCAATCACTGAGGGGAACGTCGTGAAATTCGTCTTCGTCCAGAGGAATGGCAGTGGCAGTGCTTTCGTTTAAGCCTGAACAGTCTGTGGATGCTTGGTAGATGTATTCGTATGATTTACTTCATACCGCGACATTTCATAACTGGAGCATTGTCGCTGGAATTACTGCCAGCTAAGTCGTGTAGCTCGCTCAGTTCCTTCGTGAGCTCTGAAATGATCTACAGATAACGACAAATGATGTTTCACTATTACAAGAGAAGTCATAGTGTTGGTGGTGACTAGCACTCAAAAGAAGAAAGAATGTTCCTGGTGGATACCGATAATCGAACTTGTGACCATGCGTGCGTGAAGTGCGCCACTTACCACTGCACCACCTACTACGAAAACGCGCTTGCATCAAATGGTGTACCGCGCTAGCCGCATCCGCCGCGTGTCGGAGCGCGTGTCGAGTACAAGGGCAGGATTTGAGTTCACAGTGGATGATTACAGTAACGCCCTTGCCGCGCCTGCGGAGGTGATGACTCGGGAATGAGAGGCCTGCCACATTCGAAAAGTAAATAGAATAGAAGTGAATGGTGAACTAACTTTGGGACACAGTTCACTTTAATTTTAAAGTACCATTTTCAGTTAAATAACTGATGTAGGCGCAAAATAGTACAATGATGGGAAAGAAAAAAGAAAGGCCGTAAAGTGAGGTCTATATGTTTCTGGAAAGTATTTAGAGTAGCGCGTGGTTTTGCGAGATTATGACGCTGAAGGGGTGTTTTTACAAGATTTCGGTAGTATTTGTGTGTGCATGTGTGTGCGTGTGTATACGTGTGTGTATGTGTGTGCGTTTGTGTGTGCGTCTGTGTGTGTATGTGTGCGTGTGTTGAAAGTTGCTTACGATGTTGTTGCTACCATAAGTTGTTTTCCGCCACTGCACGCTCTGGCCGACCAGCTCTCCGAATTTCTAATGTATGCATTTGATTATGAATGACAGATCCTCTACGAGGCCATTTAAACAAGCCCGCTTTTGGAATCGAACGCCGCCGAAGCTAGACCCTTGTAGCGCCTTTTTTAAGCCGATTTTCGACCAAACAACTGCCCGTGTGCCCTACATGGGCACCACAAATTTGTCGTGGCGGGGATCTTAAAAACTATTTTGAATGGGCTAAGCCTTAAGGCCTCAGAAGGTTAAGGCGTTGGAAAACGTGACTGAATGGCAGAAATAGAAAAACCTCAGTGCCGTAGACAGCAAATAAAGCCATGAGCATTTGTCGCAAGAGCGGCGGCTGGACCGTAGCTCCCCGGTGAGGCTGACCCAGACCTACACAGCTGCACGACATACTTTATCACTTGAAAGCTGGTTACATTTCTGCACTTTCTCAAGTGCGGGAATAGCTGAAACTGTGGTTTAGTAGCTCCAATGGTCTGTGCAGGGTAATAGATGTGGAGTTGTTCATGGAGGGGTGGGTTATACTTTCCAGGTAAGAGAGGCAGCCTTCGTCTCATCATTTAAAACCAGTCATTTGTGCCCTCAGTCACTTTATGCGGACTTACTATTACTAAAGTAAAAGTTGAGACAAAATGCGGAGCAATAGGGACTGTTGCATTTGTTACTGAAGTCTGAAGGCAAGTAGAATGATAGGAACTCCTAGAAGCTTCTTCACATATTTCGAACGAGTGTGATGGTGGTAATGAAGGAAAATTGAAGTCACATACTGCCTTCCTTGCTATCCACTGTCACTGTGTTGAAATTCAGGGGCTCAGCTTTTTCGTTTTTCAGTCGAAGCTTCTCGAGCGATTGAAAATCAGGCAGCTCTCGTACACAGGATACTCTGAAAGGTCCAAAAAGGAAAATTAAACTAAATCAGGGTGTTCCTCTTTCTTTCCTTTCCCTCGTTCTTCTTCATCATCAAAAATTTATCACCTTGATGTCGATCGCTGCATTAGTGGCTCCACTTCCTCGATCACTGTCTGTACGGGTTTACCAGCGAGCACTGCATCTCGTTGACGGTTTTTAAGCTCCTAATCAAAGTTTGTATATTTTATGAGGCTCTTATGGTTCGGAAGCATCTATAAGCAAATCCCTAAAATCACCTGTCGCTTTGCTACGTGCACCTTCTCTCGATTTAAGTCCCCACCACAAGAAATAATTGCACTGGTCACAATAAGAACGGTATAGATACATAAATCTGTAAACAAGGGGACTTACTTCCACCTTAAAATTATGTTTATTTGGTGATGTAATGTGACCTAAAGGCACATATCACTTCAAAAGGCTTTTGAGATTTCCCCCTTATATGAGCCTGTGGAGTGACGGTACAGAGCGGAATGTCCCCGAGAGCATCCTCCGAATTCTGCAGAATTTCTGCAGACAATACATTTTACTTCACGGCATAACCTCATTTGAATGCCCAGATTTTCACCCGCCACATATACGACGCATGAAAAAGGGATCCTGGGCAAGGGCAGGCACCGGGTTTCTTGCAGCTAGGGGTCACGTGGTGCGTTTCTGAAAATGGCGCGCAAACAATATCGCGCTCCAATGCCAGAGGAATAGAGGGGAAATAACTGAAACCGCTACGCGACCGCGCGCTGGCGGCGATAGATGCTCTCCCATGCTTTCCGCTCTGTAGCACCACTCTGAGCCTGTGACCCTCAAAGACAGCCTAGAGGACGCTGTCGGACAGTGAAACCTCCAAAGTAGTCCGTACTAGGGGCCCCAGAACCGCCATGGCTGACATACACGCTCTAGGCAGACGAGTTTTTAAGAGTTGTAAAAGCTGGAAAGATTGAGCCATTCGCACTTGAACCCTCAACTTCGAACAGCTTACTGTAGCCAGTATGCAGTGGCGCGCCCATTTGAACAGCTCGTCCAAGCACCCCTCCCACGCTACTTCTGTCGTCACATTCTCGTCCAACCCTGATTTTACTTCTTCTTTGATGCCTTGCATTGCTGAATAGGCCGAAATGGCCACTATTGCTTTCTTCTGGACCATCATTTCCACTATGTGTCTAAAACTAGATACCCCATAATTAACGTGAACTGTGCATTTGGGATAAGGGAGTTATTTATAGTTCCGCAACTCCACTGTTGATTACTGGAGTTATGCGCACCCGCTCAACGAAGCAATACCGCCTGTGTACACAGAGACGAAAGAAAAAAGCTCCTTATTTGAAACTATAGGTACGAGGGTTATCATTCGTTATCTATTGTTCACCTTGCTTTTCACGCATGTATATTAATCCTAGGAAAGGCTACTTTCAAAGTCCGCCGGCCGGCCTTTCGAACGTGCGTGCGGGCCAGCGGCGGCGCTAACTTTTTGTAGGCAACACTGGCGCGTGATCCATCGTGCCACCTGTTGGCAACACTTCACGAAGTGTTGTCAATAGGTGGCGCGCGCCGCCGCCGGCAGGGACGCGCGCTCGCACGCGCTCAGAAGGCCCGGCGGCGGATCTGAAGGCAGCCAAATGAAGGCCACTGGCTGCTTTCATAGTCCGCCGGCCGGCGCACTGACGTAAAACAAATTAGTTCGCGTGTAAGAAATCTGGAGAACGTCCGTTGCGCGCGTCCGTTAAAAGTAGGTCAATCCGCCCACTTCGCGCGCGGCGCACCCCTCTTAGGCCTCGAGATGACACTACAGTACCAAGTGTCAGTGGAGCGAATGATTTGCATTTGTTCGTATTATCTTCTCTTTGGCTGACTGCCGTGTACCAAGCGCAAGTCGTTTGCCTCACTGACAACTGCGACATCTGTCAAGTATCGCGGACTGACCCGCCGCATGCGACAGCTGCGGCGTGACCTAGTTCTGACAGACGCGCGCAACGAAGCGCACACAAGAAGTCTACGTCTGTTGCATTTTATTTCTGACCTGTTCTGACCGCGAAATAAAATGCAACAGACGCAGATTTCTTACATACGAACTAATTCGTTTTACGTCAGTGCGCCGGGGTATGGGTACATACGTGCATCTGATGATGCGTGCGGCACATTGCGCGACGAAATTCGTGGCCCTTCGAACGACCCTGGCGCCTGTTCTTGGGGTACAAACTTGAAGTAGTAGATTAGTATGGTTAGCTGATCCTACTAATCTACCCTACTTCAAATTTGGACCTCAATAATAGACGCTAAAGTCGTTCAAATCTCCACGAACTTCGCCACGCAATTTGCCGCGCGCATCCTCGAACGCATGTAAGTTCCGTCCCCCAGTGCGCCGGCGCGCCGGTCGGCCGGCTGGCGGACTATGAAAGCAGCCACTTGCTTTCTGGCCTAGTTTGAGCCCTCTCGTTGAGAGGTTACCAGTTTTTCCTCCGTTCCAACTTTTCACCTGCAGTTAGCATTTTGCTCACCTATTGCCTCGTCCCTTGCTTAAGCTTAGACCAAAAATCCCATCCCTATGGCTCAGAACCCTTTTCAAGCACCGCTACAGGCCCGCTAAGGCCATTCTTCTTCTTTTTCGGCCACGACCGTTGGAGAAGCAGACGAGAAGGGTGTCGCTCCAACAACCTTCTGTTGTACTCCGTACTATATTTTACTTGCACTATCTTTCTAAAGTACTACGTACTTATTATAGTCTACATTCAAGTTCTGTTATCAAGGGCGCAATGCCATGTAATGCTTGAGCCTCAAACTGTGCCCATACGCCAGGGAGTGAGATATTTTTTAACAAGGAGAATCTGGAAGGAGAAAGTATGTATTGGCAAGTTCCTTCCTTTTATTTCGTTCCTTTTTATCGTAAACCCCATTCCGAAAATGAGCTCAACTCTGCTAAACGGGCAAGGAACTGACGCCGAACACTGATTGATATTGATCTACGCCTAATCGCCGTTTCCCGAATTTTGCAGTCTCCCAATTTTCGAATTAACCCTAACTTCGGAACGACTCCACAATTCTTGTAGCCTCTGATGTTTTGATTGAATCGTGTCTTTATTTTAATTAAAAATACTCTCCGTTCCCTTTTTCTTACTTCTTTTCACAAAACCAATTTGAGTTAGCCATTATAGAGCGAGCGACTACCAAAAAGATGGAGGATACCTACATGCTACATTGGAAGCGAAAGTGGAGATAGCCACTCCATCAGGCTCACCGGTCGATTCACTGCTTAACATAGAAATGAGACATCTTCACTCAGTAAGTTGACTTATCGTTACATTAGTGAGATTTATTCCAAAAAAGCGATGTTAGAATGATAGGTAGTGGAAATAAAGTCTTTGGTTCACTCCCACCACCTGTTCTCCCCATAAAAGCCAATCGATTGGTCTGAATGTAGGAGTTTAGGGAGAACGTCTATTTTTATCGTTGATGGAACTAAATAGGTCACATCCACATTTTGCGTACGGTGCATCCCACTGTGATCTCGAGATGAACACGTTTAAACAGTGTAGGTATTCAAATGTCCGCGCGCGGTAAAATAATTTAACCGGCTGCGCTGCGCGCGACGTGTGCGGTGTGGTCTGGCTGCGTAGATCATCAATCGGAACACCTTCAGCTTCAATGGAAACAAAGTTCAGCGCAAGCGAAGTGCCGTGCTTGCCACATCCACCGTGATGGCAAGAATCTAATAAGTGATCTAATGGTCATGAAATGCACAGTTCTGATTTGAATTACAGTGCGACTTCCAATGAGCGTCACCGATTAAACGCATTCATAGTAGATGCGTTTTAACGCAGACGGTTGCGTTCCTACGCATGAAGGTGCGTTTGTGCGCAGGTATGAAATCACACCTTCCATGGCCCCTGTTGGCGCTAGGAGCTCGGGAATTGCCTCAGCGTCCACGCTGCCGTCGACCATGCTTGCGTTGGAGCATGTTGTCTCTTTAGGAAAGCTGCTTGAAAACCTTTCATTTTTTTTCCGGTTTCCAACCACTGGCGGCCGATAGGGTGTGGTAACCTCCCCCGAACTTCTGACGCGTAGCGCTCGCCGCATGCATTTGTGCGTGACTGCACGGAGGAAGCTGGGCTATGCTGGGGAAGGTTCGAACTTTGAGAGCTTCATGCCAACGAAATTTCAGTATGAAGTAAATGACTGCAACGCCAGAACGGAGTTGTTCCCTTGAACGACTTTCTAAGCAAACTGATGATATCCTTCTTCGGGGAGTGCCCTTCGTTGCGCGCGTTTTTCTAAACTAGTCCACGCCGCAGTTGTTCACGTGGCCTGTCACCCTGCAATCCTTGACAGATGTCGCAGTTGTCAGTGGGGAATGCGACTTGCGGTTTGTCGACGGCAGTCAACTCAAAGAGAAAATACATGGACCAGTACAAATCGTTCGTTCTACTTACCCTTGGTTATACTGCAATGTCATCTCGAGATCTAAGTCGGCTGCACCGTGCGCGAAGTGGGCGGGTAACCTAGTTTCGACGGACGCGCTGAGCGGGCGTTCTCCTTCTTCGAAGAACTCTTCGGCTTCCGATAAGTAGGAGATTAACAAAGAGAAAACGCAAATAGTGTAAAAAAAANAAAAAAAATCTAAAGGATAAAGTCTCATGAAAGATAAAGTTTGGAGCGTTAATCAATCCCGGCTGAAGGATGCGCCCACATTCAACTTCCATTTAAAATCGTAGTGGCGTATTGTATGAGTATGTGGTCTATACAATGACTTGAGGTGGCCACCCGATGAACAGGTCTGATAAAAATTAATCTTTATGTCTGTCATAGTTTCATGTGCACTAATCCATGTATACGTCTATTCAACGGTAATATGAGCGATAACTTTCCTAGAACGGCCATCGTCTTCTAGTTCTACAAGTCCTCTTCTCTTCATCGGTTCCTAAAATGAAAACCAAAAGTTTAAGTATAGATATACCATGGTTACTCGCGTACTTTTACTTTGTTCTCAAAGGATGATGGTAATCCGATATAAGTGACACGCTTTCTATCTCCTACATCATATTCCACATCAGACAATATATCCACTGCTTCCATCGATGATCCATCGCGTTCAGTGGCATCATCACCTCGTTCTCCTGGCTCTCGGATAGCGGGCTAAACAAATAGCATATATCATCGGAGCCATGATCTTGAAACCTCCATTATTTAAAAATATCTTACTGGAGCGACAATTATTGTATACTGGATTTTTCCGTGGGCTGACAGATCATCTACAGTAGTTCAAGGAGGCTACGGTAACAGTATCCTCGCGTACCGCTCTTGTACGATTTGTAAGGGTCGAATCTCATCTACTGGAGATGCATAGCTTCCCAAGATATAGGAGGTTATCCGAGCCTCCCAAAAGACAAGAGGTTATTGAGTCATGCTGATGTTCTTGTAGTTAGGTACACGAGTAAGCTTATACAGTTTCCACCGTAGAGAATGTAAATCCAATCGGAATATTGCAAGCCCGTGTTGTTCTTTTTTGTGAATCGGTCCAAAGTCAAACTTTTCGGAAGACGGTTACGTTATTGAACTCAGCTATTTATTTTTCCAGAACTGGGAAAGTTCATAGTGGTTTAGCTTGAACCTTAAGGGTATCCTCTATTTTGAGGGCACTCCATCTAATAGTAATTCGAGTGTCATTGGCAAAATCGGCAAACGATCCCGGACTGTTAGGGCCTTGTGGGTACACTGCGGCCGACTTGGCAAGTTAGCGTCTCCCTTGTTGTATGACACTCAATATCAGTACGTAATGTAGTTTGGATAGCTCCCCTTTATTTCTCATTCAGAATAAATACTAATTAGCGATGCATAGATCATCCCCTTTTGGTGGGTAGTCGGGATTCTTCAAAAAGGGTACTGTACTCGAAGTTTTCGGGTGAGCTCATCATAATCTTTGATGTGAACTATTGTGCAACTGACAAGGAGTCGACTCAATTCATCATTTCAAGGTACGGCTAACAGTGCATCACGCGGATAGCTATTTTATCCCGTTGCTCTTCCCTTAGGGTTTCACATGGGCGCTGTGCCGGCTTGCCGCGCGCTGTGAGGGAAAGATTCGAGTTTTCAGTGAGAGATTACGGTAGTTGTCGCGAAATCAGTGCCGCTTACCGTTGGGATTTGGGTGAAAATACCCCCAGTGTTCCCCTTCTACTAAAGAACTGCTGCTTTGGCAGGCGATCACTAGTTTCATCGACGTGCAGGGAGCCTGTGAACTAGCAGTTACCTGCAAAAACAAAGCCTCACACATACCATCTCTTCTGTGCATGGACGTCTCTCCTCTTCAAGCATTGTCAGCCCTTTGTCTACAAACACTGGGGATTCATCTCGGAATAAACTGCGTAGTGGCGATAATCTTGGTGATCCTCTTCGACGGTATCTCAACAGGCCCACTACTTCACGGACAGCGTAGAATTCTCCAGCGGGCAGTCGCCGAACTTCAGCTTTCAAAGGGCGAGGTGGAGCTGCTTGTACGGGAGGAGCTAAATACGCAAATTGTCTTGTGTTCATTGAGAACAACAATTTCAACAGAACAATCTAATCCTTCTTGAAGTGTGCTCTTGCTATCACTGCAAGATTTCTCGTATTCGGCAGATCTTAGCAATAGCCCATTTAACTGAAGGATTACATAGAATCAGCTCATCAGGATCTACACAAAAAGTTACCCCAGTATAACTACCATTTTCTAACTTGAACCCTCCCTTCTCTCACACTTACCTTTACCACTAGCATTTGTTCTTTGCGGACGTTTAACGCCCGTCTTTGGCTTTGCTTTCTCCTCAAGCAGCTTTTTACGTATCTCATCCCGTTCTTGTCTCTTTTCCTGTTCCACCTTTTTGAGGACTTCTAACTAAACGTGATGTGGTTGGTGATATGGCATTCTTACAAGCCTGAGGTTTTCCAATGTACCATAGGCATACCTCTCGATCTCTCCAACGCTGCTCTTGTCCTCCAGGATAAAAATCACCGGGTTTGTCCACTTCTATTACTGCGATGGCTTCGCTAAATATTTGGTGGAATTAAGTACTAGCAATGGCTTGTGGGCGGGTGCGCTTCGTTGCGTGCGTCCGTAGAAACTAGGTCACGTCGCAGCCGTCGCACGCGGCATGTCAGCTCGCGATCTTTGACAAANGTCTCAGTTGTCAGTGGGGCATACGAACTGCGCTTGTTCCACGGCAGTCAGCCAAAGCGAAGATAATATGGACGAATGCAAATCGTTTGCTCCACTAACACTTGGTGGTACTGTAACGTCATCTTGAGCCTCAATGGGTTGCGCCGCGCGCGAAGTGGGCGGGGTGACCTACTTTCGATGGGCGCGCGTAGCGGGCCCGGCTGTTCTTGGCTCCGCGGAGATCTTGCGGGTGAGAGCCTCTACTTCCCATCTGATTGTGAGACTATTTGTAATCGCAATCATTCCAGATGCCCATATCTCTGATACCAGAAAGTGAGTTTTATTCGTACATCCTGTGCAGTGTGGAATGGGTATTGATTTGAGCGAGCGCAATTTGATATAATACTTTCTCTACTCGGTGTAAATGTTCATAAGTGCAGTCGAGTTAATCTACTCACTGTTCGTGTGAGGCGACTTTGGCAGTGAATCGTGGTTGGAACGTTACGGTTATCGATAATCGCACATCTTGTGGATCTTTTACAAATTTTTGTATCGTTTTACATACAACATCTTTTATGAGCTGAAAATTGATGGCTTTTGTTTAGTCCATTGACCCATAGTGCATCCAAACTCCAAGAAGGCAGAAGGTCTTGCTCACAAGTGTGTTGTGACATTGAAACTCCCGTTCGAGTATAAATTCAGGAAATGGTGCTTCTCCTTTTTGAGCCCTTAACATAGGAGTTCTCAGAGAAGTAGTACTCGTAGTGGAAGGCTTAGGCGGGGAACATTTATGAACTCACATTTTGTTAGAAATAAAATCCAACCAGCTAGGATTGTCAACCGTAAAAAATTAACCTGCATGGAGCCTGAATGATATTATCAAGATCTCTTGGATACAGTCGTACGCGGCTTGCCATGGTTACAAATATCGCTTCATTTCCACAAACACGATGAGCAGCAGCACTTCTCAGTCGGCCGAATTCGCCAAGTACCTGCTGCAATAAGTAGGAATCGTATGAAATGTCTCTGGTTGAGGGGTTCCGTTCGGGCTTACAGAGAACAAATAGCGGCATTTTGTTGTGGTAAACACTCACGATTCTATCAACCATGGGCAGTCGGTAAGGCAATGTTTTCGACTTGAAAGGACGTCTCTTTCTATCTGTTTATCCACAGACACTGGAAATTACGTGTAAGAATATGCATGGATTGATCAACGGTAGCTGCTTGAAAGGCGCCTTTTAGTTTTTGTATCACCTGTATCACCTGTCGTCCCATTTGTTATCGATTTCCTCCAGAGGGCGCCAGTAGCGTCTCTACTCGTCCCTGTCGCAAGTCAAAGTAGTGCAGTGGATCGTTCTCAATCGAGGGACACGGAACAAAGCATTCCCTTTCATTCGGAGCTTTCGTGAAGAAATCTGACCTTCGGGTCGGCGGCCGTCCGGGTGTTCGTTTGACTTTCCGATGGTCCAGTCTGTAACCGCCCTGGTCCATTATCGGAGCTAGGACTCCGGATTACTCTCAGAGATCCTATCTCCGACACAAAAAGAGATCGGAGTTCTTGTATAAATAGGAAAAAAGATGTTCCAGTGAAAAGTTTATTATGTAACGGAAGAGAGTACCTTTGAAGATCATGCTTGTTGAGGCAGAAAGGGAAGTGCTATACGGCTATATTCTCCATTACTCGAGATTTGCAAGTCTGTATCAAAAAGAAACCGAGCGTTGGCTGGTCAATCGGCCCTGGGTCACGATATACGTAAATCGGTAATTTATAACTCGCTGACGTTGGGAGGTATTGACGGCTTGTGCATGGTGTCGACAGCTCGGCGAAGATCGGTTTGTTGAGGGTCGGAGACGGCTAGTCGGGGTTGGACTTATATGTAGGTGGAAGGCGTCCTCTGTGCCATAACAGCTGATTGTGGCCGAGTCAATTTGTGCTGTCTCGTTTAGGCTGCTTTCATTCCTCAATTCTTCCACGTCTTCTTAGAGCTGTGATAACGACCGAGCAGCATCATTTCCAAGCAAAGGTTTGATTAAATGCCATTATCATTGAAAGTGTGATTCATGGTAGAGTGAGGAGTAAGTCTCAGTCTTCTTTTGTAATCACTCCTACTCGACCGCCATGGCGGACTCTACTAAAATGGATGTGGGTTGTCTACCAGTATGAAGCTTCGAACTAGTTTTTCCATCCTGAGAGTTTTTCAGACATCATCGCCGTGCAATGTGCCGTCTACTGAAACACTGTTAGACGGCGAACAGCAGATTCTACTAGAATTACTCGAAGAAGGCAGCACACCCTACGCAAAAGTGTGTTTCAGGAGATTACCTTTATGGGGACGTTTTTCATGAAGTAGAGATTACAAGTTATACCACTTGGGTTCCACTTTCCACCGTTTTCGCGGAGAAATCAGCTATCACAAAGAGGTTGCGAAAAACTAGCAGATAGGACACCCCCTGCTTCTTAATTTTAAGGTTTTCTTGTCACTTTTCCAACATGCCTTCGGAGCTACTAGCGAAGGGCATTCAGACCGTGGAGGATTAGTGCAGTGCAGAGATCCTGGTTCGAGGCAGCGTTCAGGTCCCTAAAGACGGTGATTGGGGCTAGCACGAGTGTCTGAAGACAACAAAGTGTTATAATATGTTGTTTGCGTTATCACTACCATCGCACCAAATGATTGCCTATCTTCCATGAAAAGTTTATCCTTCCTCATGTCTTCTCTTCCAGCAGGGATAGCCGCGTGGATAAGAGCGTAGGCTCGTGAGAACACGAATTCAATTCTTGCCGATTCAAAGATGCCATGCAAAAACTGCAAATTAGTATCGGTACCACCGTCAGTCCCAGGTTGACAGGCCGGCTGATGGAGATATCTATTCAGAGTAGCCATGACAGGGTCTCAAAAATATCAGTGATAAAGCAAAGATGTCGCCTGAAAATGGCGCGCAGGACGCCCCCCTCCCCGAGCCTACAAGGGATTAGAACGACTTCGGTCAAAGAAATTATTTCGAATCGGGACTCTGAACGTGGGTTCGCTCACTGGAAACTCTCGATAAGTCTCTCGATCTAATGAAACGTTGGAACATCAAGTTCTATGCCTTCGGAAGACTCGCTGGAATGGAGCAAAGGCCAGAGAAATCAGAGAGGGTGTAAAGTTCCACTACATTAGACAAGAAACCAAACGAAATGGTGGTCATAGCAGTGGCGGAGTCTTTTGAATACCGTCTTTGTCATAAACAGGATCAGCAGTCGAATCATGGCTATGAAAATAGATTTGAAAAGGAGGTTCTGGACAATAATATTCGTATAAGCAACTGAGCAGGCTGCCCCGTTTATGACAAGGATGAGTTCTGTCTGAGCCTAGACGAATCCATCAGATCAGTTCCGAATGGGAAGTACCTCACAGAAGCGAGTGATCTCAATGGCCATGTTGGAAGTGAACGAAGAAGCTTTGACAAGATCCACGGGGACAAGAGATTAGGGGTTAGGGACAAAGAAGCACTTGACAGTACGCAACACCTTTTTCGCGAGAAGGAAAGCTCAGAAAATAACCTATAGTAATAAATGGAAAGCAACAGAATAGACTGTGTACTCTTAAAGGCACTGTTTACGAAAAAGTGGTTTCGGAGATTTGCACATGGTTTGAATTCGAAGCCCCCTCTGAAACCATTTGTGCAGGAATGAGGTCGGAAAACGGCTGGATAGGGCACAAAAAGGGGCCGGAGAGGTATCCACGGTCGCCCTCCGCCCCTTGATCGGTGTCACGTTAGACGAGTGTCGAGACAACACAGTGTCATGTAATCGCGCCAGGACCCACCCTGAATTGCAAATTGGCAAATTGCCAGGGACGCAATGTGTTGCATGCTATTGCAGACAACACATTGCGTCACTGGCAAGTTGCCAATTTGC